AATCTATCTATCTTCATGTGCTCTTACCAATATTTCCCCCCTTTTTCATCTCAGGTACCAAAAACTCTGGAAAAGCTATGTAAAACTGCGCCACCTGCTGGCCAACAGCCCAAAAGTGAAACAGGCCGATAAACAGAAACTGGTACAAAGAGAGGTATGCTGAGAACTCAATGTTTGCGAATATGCGGAACCTTTTTGTTTTGCGGTGCTTACACGGTTTCGTTTTGTTCGGCTTCGTAAATGCGAATAGAGGCTGCTGAAAGCCTTAGAAAGCATTTAGGCATTGTAAAACACTGAAACAGATGAAAACGGGGCCTGTGACTGACTTACAACCCAAAGTTATTAGGAACTTAGTATTTTTGTATTATTCTTCTCCTCCTGTGGACCATCTAGGGTTGCCAAATATTTTTTACCTGGCGGCGGGGGGCTCCTGCCCGGTGTCCTGAGCGCGTGTGCGCGTCGCCCGGATGTGACATCATGACACCGGGCACGCTGGGGGATGGGGCCACAGCCATTTGAGGGGAAAACATAGAGTTTTCCCCTCAAATGGCTGTGGCCCCGACCCCAGCGTGCCCGGCATCATGACGTCACATCCGGGTGACGTGCACGCGGGGGTGGGGTTTCCCCCGGGGCCTGATTCTGCGGGGGCGGAAATCGGGCCTCCAAAGCGGGGGGAAATCCGCCCCCCAGGGGGACTTGGCAACCCTAGGACCATCCAACCTGTGATGATCTCAAGAGATACTGTGTTGTGCAGAATATTAATGGACCTTCTAATTCTAAGGGATGATGACACGAGGAGAATGTCAGACCTGTCCGTAGCTAGAGTATTGGCCTAGCATCTGGGAGTTGGGGTTCAAGAACCCTCTCTGGGCGACCTTAGGGCAGGGTCCCCAGCCCTTCTGAACCTGTGGGCACTTTTGGAATTCTGGCACAGCCACAAAATGTCTGCCGCCCACAGGAGGCGGAGCGAGCCACGGAATCACTGCCACACCGTGAAGATCCTCGTGTGGCGGTAGCAGCCGCTGCCAAAGCAGTATTTTTTAAAAATCTGCACAGCTGATCAAAACTCCAGTTTCTACTGAGAGGGTCTTGCTGAGCAAAAACCCCCACCCACTTTCTAGAAACACTTAGCAGGCCATCGGGAAATGTGTCAAGAGGGCCCCGTGGCGGCCGTGGGTGTCATGTTGGGGACCTCTGCCTTAGGGTATTCACACCCTTTCGGCCCTAAACTCTCTTCTGAGGTTATTGTGATAATAAAATGCAGATGGGAAAATGGTGTGTGTCACCCTGGGCTGTTTGGAGGAAGTGTGTGCTAAAAATATACCACGTAGATACACAGAATGTAAGAGAAGCTGTGCTGCATCAGGCCTAGGGTTGCCAAGTGCGATCTTCGCTGCAGCGGGGGACTCCTGGCTGGTGGCTGGAGCACGCATGCACGCAAAGCACATGCATGCTGCATCTTCATCACTCGGAAGTGACGCGACCACGCCGGGCACGCTGGGGGCCGGGCCACGACCATCCGAGGGAAAACCATAGAGTGTTCCCTCGGATGACCGTGGCCCCACTCCCAGCGTGCCCGCGTCACTTCCGGGCGATGTACATGTCGGCGGCAGGGAACGGGCCTCTGGGGCGGGGGTTTTCCCGCCCCCCGGGGGACTTGGCAACCCTAGTCTCAGCAGTCTCTGTCCCCGAACCCTACTGAGAAGCCTAATCAGGCCAATGGCCCATCGCTCTGTGTCACACGGTGGCCAAAACCCAGGTTTTGGAACATTGATCTGCAGTCCATAATCCATTTACTTCAAAGCAGTCACATTTGTTTTGATCATGGTCTAGTGGTTTAGTACTTCAAGCAGTGCCAGTGTTATTGGCTTCTGATTGGTTAAATTAAGCTTCTAGTGTCACTTGGGTGTAAATGGTTAGACTGGGAAGGGCTGGGTTCAAATCCTCACTGGGTGACCAGGGCCGGTTACAGTCTCTCAGCCTGACCTACCCTGGAAGGAAGGGGGGGCCATGTATTCATAGAATCATAGAGTTGGGACCTCCAGGGTCATCTAGTCCAACCTCCTGCACAATGCAGGAAATACATAAATACTTCTTCCTCCACACACCCCAGTGATCACTGTTCCACACCCAGAAGATGACAAAAAACCTCCAGGATCTCCAACCAAACTGACCTGGAGAAAAATTGCTTCCTGACCCCCAAAGTGGCGTTACAACAATAACACTGCAATATGCAATATAAAGCTTAGCCTATTGTAGTGTTATTGTTGTAATTTTGTTAATAACTGAATTCTAAACATTGCATATAAAAACCAACAAATATTGTTTAATTGTACACGGTGATTTACTGTTTCACTAGCTATTATACACCGTGGTCCTGTTTGTTGTAACTGATTCAGTCCAAGGCAGCTTCATATGTGTTCATATTGCTTGTCGTGGGTGGGCAATGGCTCTCAAGCTTCATTTTACCTCAGAAACTCTTGAGTATTATCAGTTAATTGATTTTTATCCCCCTCCACATCAGTAGTCAGGGCGGGATAGAAATGGTTTCCATCCCTCTGCTGCAAAACGTAGCCCTTTCATATAATTCTTAGTGAAATGACCATGGGCCTGCAGAGCAATGGTGGTGTGTGATGGACGACTTCATTTAAGGTGGCTTTGAAATTGTATCAGAAGAAACACCATGGTCTGCTGTGTCTTGCACACATGGAAAAAACAGTCAGGATACAGTTGCTTTTACTCAGCGCAAGCACACAGCAAGGGGTAATTTTAGTGTTTCTGCTGGTGCAAGGATTCGTGCGTGTGTGCAGAGTGTCGGGGGTCCCCAACCTTGTTTGAGCCATTGGGCACCTTTGGAATTCTGACATAGTGTGGTGGGCACAGTCACAGAATGGCTGCCCCAAAATGGCTGCCCCATGAGGTAAAGCCAGCCACAAAATGGCTGCCGCAGTTTACCTTCAGTCACACAGTGAAGAAGATCTTTGGGCTGTGGTGGCAGCCGCTGCCAAACCAACATTTCTAAAGTTCTGCACAGCCAATGTCATGTAGAAGCCCCACCTAGCTCTGCCCACTTTCTGAAAACATTTGGTGGGAGCCAGAAAAGGTGTTGGTGGGCACCATGTTGAGGGACCCCTGCTCTGTAGCATCCAACCCAGTGACTGGCCTGAGGTCGTTCTGTGTGCTTTGCAGCCACGTGGGAACTGAGCCTTTGGGAATCCTTTTCTTTTGATCAAAAATGTGTGTGTGTGTGTTTTTTTTTTTTTAAGGAAGCTCTGCAGAAGATTAGGCAGAAAAACACCATGCGGCGTGAAGTCACCGTGGAGCTGAGTAGCCAGGGATTCTGGAAGACGGGCATTCGTTCTGACGTCTGTCAGGTGACTTAAACAGCTTGTCTGTACTCCTAGGAAATGGGGGGGGGGGATTTCATGCATTGGTGCTGGTTTCTTTTTTTTCCTTTTTCCTTTGCTATTTTTTTTATTTTAATCATCCAGTTTAACAGGAAAACAACCAAATACGGAACAATGACCGACTTTGAGAATGTTATAACACGTTTTCAGATGAGCCTTATAAAATCTACTAAGTTTAATCAGTTTCTTCTAACATTGCTAACCGGATCCATGACGGCCGCCAGGTATCCGAAGGTAGTCCTTCCCTTTCCTCAGGCTCTTTTCTCTTATGGGAGGTGGGCTGGTGTGGGGAAGGAAGTCAGCCCTGAAAATGTCTCCAGCCAGGCCACTGCGCTTGAACAGAGAGCAGACGAACCCTCAGGTGTGCAGTGCTCGACACCTGACAGGTTTCCGTCTGTTTAACTTGAGTTAAGGGCAAGCGGCAGACAACACACCGAGGAACTTCTCACACACGAAGTGGTGGCAAAACCAGGTCTCCTGGGATGGGGCTAACCAGCCCTGGCTTTCTGGTGCACGCGTGTGCCATACGTGTTTCTCACCGGCTCTTGGTCACGCTTTCGGTTGCACGCTTGGGAAGCCTTTGCCCCGCTTAACTCCTTCTGAAATAGGAGACAACGCAATCCTGAACAGAGTGATAGCCATCTAAGCCTTTGCTACTTTTCTTGAGACTGCACAGTTAAATTAGTTCCCGCTAACACGGCCTGTTTGGACAACGAAGAAAGCAGACAGGAAGAAAGTAGCTTCCTTTGGAATGTGGTGTTGGAGGAGAGTTTTACGGACCGCCGAAAAGACAAATTAGTGGGTTCTAGGTCAAATTGAGCCTGAACTCGCCCTAGGAGCCAAAACAACTCAAACAAAGGCTAGAGGAGAAGAAGAAGGAGAGGAGAAGAGATTGGATTTATACCCTGCCCTCAGAGTGGCTTACAAACTCCTTTCTCTTCCCCTCCCCACAACAGACACCCTGAGGTAGGTGGGGCTGAGTGACAGAAACTACCATTTCAAGGACAGCTCTGACAGAACTATGGCTTGCCCAAGGACATCCAGCAGCTGCAAGTGGGGGAGTGGGGAATCGAACCCAGTTCTCCCAGATTAGAGTCCACACACTTAACCACTATACCAGACTGGCTAGTGTACTTTGGTCACATCATGAGAAGACACTGGAAAAGGCAATCATGCTAGGAAAACTTGAAGGCAGCAGGAGACGAGGAAGACCCAGCATGAGATGGATTGGCTCAAGTCAAGGAAGCCACAAAGTCTGCAAAACCTGAGCAAGGCTATTAACAACAGGACGTTTTGGAGGACGTGAATCCATAGGGTCGCCATAAGTCTGAACAGGGCTTTTTTTGTAGAAAAAGCCCAGCAGGAACTCATTAGCATAATAGGCCACGCCCAACAGCAGAAACCCATTAGCATATTAGGCCACACCCCTGACAGCACAGCTCATTAGCACATTAGGCCGCACCCCCACGTTACCAGAAGTGTGGTCATCCAGCCACACCCACCTTTCTCTTCTTATTCTGTTGACCTTGTTTGTTGTCAAAACCCAGGGCCTTTTTTTGGAGCAGGAACTCCTTTGCATGTTAGGCCACACACCCCTAATGTAGCCAATTCTAATGAGTTTCTGCTGTTGGGTGTGGCCTATTATGCTAATGAGTTCCTGCTGGGCTTGGCCACCTCGGGAGCCAGCCGGAACTCCGTTCCTGTGTGTTCCTGCCCAAAAATAACCCTGAGTCTGAAGCGAAACGACAGCACTGAACACATCCACAATATGGCCTGTCAGTTTCCTAGGGGCAGAAGCACAACCAGCTTTTCTCTGGATTGGTGCTAAAAACCCTTCATCCTTTTCTCGAGGAGGCTGGGGATAAAGATTGATCTGAAGAAGGGATTGGGAGGCGCCTTTCAGTTCAGCTCCAGCCTGCGTTGTTGTGGCTGTGGTTCTTTCTAATCCTCCAAAAGCACCTGCCTCTCAGTAGGCAGAGCAAAGAGCATCCAGCGTCTCGGGGGCTGTGGCTCACTGGAAGAGCCTCCGATTTGCATGCAGAAGGTTCTAGGTTCAGTCCCCGGCATCTACAGTTTAAAGCACCAGGTGGTATAGGTGATGGGAAAGACCTCGGCCTGAGACCCTGGAGAGCCGCTGCCAGTCCGAGTAGACAATACTGACTTTGATTGACCAGCAGTGTTCCCTCTAAGCTGAGTTAGTGTGAGCTAGTTCACAGATCTTTAGCCTCCAGCTCACACTTTTTTGTCTTAGCTCAGGAAGGAGGGCTCTGGAGCAAACTAATTTATGCAGGAGCCCAATGGCTCGCTCTCAACTTTAATGCCAGTGAGCTCACAAAGTAGAATTTTTGCTCACAAGACTCCACAGCTTAGAGGGAACATTGTTGACCAGTGGTCCGATTCGGTATAAGGCGACTTCCTGTTTGTAATGCTGTACAGCAGCAAGTAGGGAAGAAACACTCATTTCTCTGCCCTTCCTCGTAGTAAAAAGGAGAATTGCTCACGGACTCGAGAGCCTTTGCAGTGCGTGTCGTTAGATCATCCCGGTTTTCTTTTTATTGCAGCAAAGGACCAAAGAGTCACAAGTCTGGCTGTATTTGCCGAATCAATTGTTTTGAGAGATCTAATTCCCGATGAGGTCAAGGGGAGACAGTGTATTGTATAAAAGAGGGAGAAAGTTTGCTAGTGGAGCTTTTTAAACTCTGCTTTCCATCTGATTAAAGGGCGGTAACGATGGATGAGCGTAAATCGAGGCTACGGGCAGCTTTAGTGCAGGGTGATTTTAAAATCATTGGTTAGCTGGTTTTTTCCCCCTGTAAAGCCCAGCAGAATCAGTGGGAAACGGATGGAAAGGCCGAAAGCCGGCTAATGGGTTTAAATTGTTAAGTGTTTGCAGAGAACGAGCAGGGACTGCTGGGGCACATTTGGACTCACAGAAGCACAACGTGGTGTAGTGGTTAAGAGAGGCGGGCTGTAATCTGGAGGACCGGGTTTGATTCCCCACTCCTCCTCCCCGGGAAGCCTGCTGGGTGACCTTGGGCCAGTCACAGTTCTCTCAGGACTCTCTCAGCCCCACCTGCCTCACAAGGCGCCCATTGTGGGGAGAAGAAGGGGAAGTAAGCCACTTTGAGACTCCTTAAGATAGAGAAAAGCAGAGTATACAAATTACTTTTCTTTTGTGTGTGTGTGTGGCATTTTGAAAGGCAGCAGAAGAGAGCTGTTTCTGTTGAGGGATTCAGGGGGTCGGGCCCTTTTCCCGGGACTCCCCCTCTTCCCCCGAGGTCTTTCATTGGGTGAGCGGGGGGACTGGCAAGGGACTGAATCTAGTATAGAGAGAGACAGTGGTTCTTCAACAAAGCTCAGTTTATTCCGTTATACACTCTTAAGGCAGAAAACACTTTGTAGCATTTCAGTACTCGGCGCAGAATATTTCAACCCAATATTTTAAATGGTGCACTGCG